CCCCCCCCCAAAAGATTCGGGGACTGTACAAGCGGAGTAGATGATCGATGGTGAACGTGCATGAATCGATTTTGTTCCCAAAGAATCGGAGGAGGATTACGATCCTCCGCAACAATGGGTGGATTTGGCCTAAGCATACATTGTACCTCCTACAGAAGTCCAAGATGACCGGGTCCACCGAACCCAATGTAAATGGATAAGTATAAATACTTAGATATCCCTTAACATGGGTGGTAATGTCATCGTCAGACCCGGGAATCACTACGTCCTGATCCATCCAGCCGCAATCATTTTGAACCACAGGAAGAATGGCCTTAGTAATGGAACAGATGTACCGTGACGCCACTTCGCATCGGCCTTGAATCGAAGAGGGCCTTTCGAACTTGAATTCTTCATTAAACAAATACCCCCTAGGACAAATATTTTCAAGAGGGGCTCGACCGCTAGTTCATCAGTGGTTGCGCCCGGAGTAGACCTCTCGAGGACAACCACATCAAAAGAGGTCTCATCAACCTCAGTAGTGGGTTGTGAAGAAGGAGTACTTTTTGGGGGAACGGTCTTGGAAGTCTTCGCCATTTTTATCTAAGAAAGGCTAGGAAAAAAATGACGAAAAATGAAGGGTCAAGTGCAGCGGTTTGGGTAGAAGATGATTAAAAGTTTGAAACTCACTGAAATTTCTTAAAAACGGAGGTAAAAATGCCAGAGTATGAAGAATGATAGAAGACTCGAAGGTAGAATCTTGAATATAAAGTAAAAAATGAATGAAGGAAAGGGATATTTATAGAGGCCTTACAACGTTTCACACCCAAAGATAGTCAATCGATGGTTGACATGCGTTTAAGTCATAATGACATGACTAACGAGACGTTTCAGGTCCTTTGTCATTTCTATCACGATGTATTGAAGAAGGAATCGAGGAGCTCATGTCATTTCTCGTCAAGATACTCTCCGAGAAACGAAGGGACTATCTGTATACAAGTTAAACTGGGCCCATAAGACGGCTCGGTCTCCGATAAAATAAATCGAGTAACGTATGTGATGACACATAGCCAGAATCGAGGTAAGGGGGTCATCGAGACAGGTTCTAGGGGTACGACGCTCAACCCCAATAATATCGGGGCCATGAACGCGGATCGATCCAAATCCCAAAAGACCTCAGAGAGATTTATCGTGTAATCGAACACGATGGACATAAGGCCGTAATATCCGTGACCATTAGGATATCACGGCGTGGATCTCAGCATTTATCGATAGAGAACCGATGATTAGTTAAATAGAAGATTGTTTACCTTTTATAGAATTGTACTTAGAGTAAAATTCCCCTACTATATAAAGAGGAGTATGATTATTCATTGAAAATATTGTGACACACGCATACCAAGGCAATATACTGTTATTTTCTCTATTATTGAAAGTTCTTATTCTTGTTCATCAGTGCTGGCCATTGTGAGTCCGAATCGAGGGTGGATATTTCATTGAGGCCGGAATCATCCTCCTCACGTGGTTTGAATTTACTATACCTTTATTTATTTAATCTAACACAATTTATCATCTGTATCAAATCAATCTGCGTATCCTTAAAACCACTTACAAATTTTTATTATTATCCGTTTTTTAGGGTAAACACCTATAATCACGTAGATGTCGATAACTTGCTTTAGATCACAAATTTCAAAAGTCATTCATTTTTTATACTCCATATCCAGTTAAATACCTTCATGTAATATGATACGAAGGGAGTAAATAATTAAACATTATATTCAAAAAATATTAGAAAATATATTAATTTTCATGGTTTTGTAATACAGTTTGTTTAATAAAGTATACTTTAAAAGTTAATAGTCATGCATGACAGCTGATGGGGGTGGTAATAAAGGATGAAGGTTTGTGAAATACTGGCTGGTAGTGATTCTCGTTGAATCACTACCAGTGAAGGCTATAACGCTACACAGTGAAGGCTATAATGCTAATTGTAGTTGTAGTTATAGTTACATGTGAAGGCTATAATGTTAGAGATGGTATTCGGTGATGGTGGTTATGGTGGTAGAAATGATAGATGACATTTAAAGTAGTTGGTAATAGTGGTGATGCTCGTCAAGAAGTATTTGTATATGGTAGTAATACAATAGTTAAAACCAGAGGCAGATCTTGGATTTATCTAGTACATGGGTGTACTATGAAAAAAAAGGAAAAAATATATTAAGTGAGAAGTGATCCCTATTTCTCTTGGTAACTCAATCTTCAACCAAGTGCATAATTCAACCTTCTTGGAGTATCGGTGTCAAAAATTAAAAAGTGTTTAAACTGAGTTCAGGACCAAAAAGTGTTAAAAATATATACATAAAATATTTAATATTACAGAGAGATCATGAGTTCACGTGCCTCATTATCTCCCTATAAAAGTCGTCCCTGAGTAAATGTCATGTTCATAAGAATCTTTAGGTTTAAAACGCCTTAAAAAAATTTAAGACTGCAAAATTGAATGAATCAAACTTTTTAAGAGCAAATAAGTGTTTAAACTTAACGAGATATAAATGGTTCAAATTGTAACATTCAGACGTGAAAAAAATTAAGGTCTTACTCCCTTTTAAGCCATTTACATAAATATTCATAACAAATATTGGCGATTTACCGAAATATAGTCAGAACTCAAAATATATGTAGTTCTATTAATCAATAGAGGTTTGAATATATGAATCGTTCATATCTCACCCCCATCGAATGCATGTGCATTTTCTCTTATGATTAACCACTTATTTTCTATGAAAAAGTTAAATACATTTGATATATAAGTATTTAAAATAATTAAGATATTGGTCATTCAAAGGTTTGTATTGTAAGTTATAACGTTTCTTATTTATTATTTATCCTAAATGTTCAACCTAAACTTACTTTAATTTTCCCAAGTTCAATCTATATAACCCTATTCTACCTGTGTTTAAGTTGTTGCACATGTTTCTTGTGATCGGTTATTAATGCTTGCTGCCCAACTTCTTTATTCTTAGGTTGCCTAACTTTTTCCTTTCTTCTTTTTCCTGCTTTACCTAACTTTTGCTTTTGCTGCGTCGTTCTTTCTTTTGTAGATAGCCTGGGATGGCTGTTAATTACTCCTACATGTGCGACTTGCTATTAATTCCATCTGGGCACCTGGCCCTAGTTACTTACTAGGGGTCAGGGGCGGAGGGAGAGTACCACCCGTTCTGAGAGTCCCCATTTGAAATAATTATTTAAAGTGTCCCAAGTCATCGTTATTTTAAATCCCAAATTAAGAAATTTTTTGACTCTGTTAAAGTCTGCAAAACACAAAAGACCGGTAAGAAATTCTGTTAACCTGGGAGAAGGTGCGAAACACTTCCGAATTTGGTAATTTTAGCACAGTCGCTTTGTAATTAAAACTCGGCTTAATTAACTGATTATTATAATATTTTAAACCTATATATATTTTACCTCTTATACCGTTTTTATTCATATATTTAAACCCTTTTTAGTATTTGTGGAGTTACTTTAAACAAGTTACGATGTCGTACACCTATTGTTTTACACACACCACAATCGTGCCACGTGAAACACACTTGTAATTTATGACATATTTATTTTTATTATTACTTTGAAGTGGGGTCCAGTCATAAAAGTGTGCATTTGACTTTGGGGTTACGTGTCATGATTATGTTACGGGGAACCATACCTATATCCATAACAATTTATTATTAGTAGTGCCTAAAACAAACTAGAAATGTTCATAAGTTATTACTGTAGACTAACTTTTGAGATTATGTAAAGTCATAATTTATAGATAAGCATTGTGAAATTGCGCGAATGATTTCAATTGTCTAGATCCTTAACATACGTGGTTCCATACTTGCATTGTTTAGAGCCAAAGACAAACAGTTTCTTATTGAGCTTAAAACTTTCGTGAAATTAGTTACAGAGGAGCTTTTGAGATTCAACAATTGAGGATGGATCTTAAGCTAATTTTAGGAGAAGTGTACAGTTAGCCACTAATAACATATGTATTTACTTTTAAGTTGCTGTTTAAAATGTTTTTAGTCATTGCTTTAATAAACTTTAACTGTCCGGATGAAAATACCCTTCTGCTCATGTCCTTAACTTTTGAACTTAACTTCAGGACTACATATCCTCAACTTTTGAACTCTAAGTTCAGGACTTCAGGACTACATGTCCTTAACTTTTGAACTCTAAGTTCAGGACTTCAGGACTACATGTCCTTAACTTTTGAACTCTAAGTTCAGGACTACATGTCCTTAACTTTTGAGCTTAACTTCAGGACTTCACGACTACATGTCCTTAACTTTTGAACTTGTAACTGTAGGTTCAGGACCAAGTGTTTTTAACTTTTGAGCTTGTTAGTCTAAATTCAGGACCTATTGTCCTTAACTTTTGGGCTTCTTAGTCTAAGTTCATGACCTATTGTCCTTAACTTTTGAGCTTATTAGTCTAAGTTCAGGACTTCAGGACCTATTGTCCTTAATTCTAAGTTCAGGACCAAGTGTCCTTAACTTTTGAACTTGGAAATCGAAGTTCAGGACAAAGTGTCCTTAACTTTTTGAATTTGTAACTGTAAGTTCAGGACCTATTGTCCTTAACTTTTGAGTTTGTTAATCTGATGTGACGACCCGACCAATCGTCTCATGAGTTACTGCTCTGTTATCCCTATTTCTGCTTCATTATGATTCGTTATCCGTATTTTATCTAATCAAATTGAGTAGTTTGCGTTCGGAGTGGATTTGGTAAGAAATGAGACACTTCGTCTCTTTTAAGAATGTTTAAGTTGGAAAAGTCAACTGGATGTTAACTTATGTATTAGAGGGCTCGGATGTGAGTTACGATGGTTCAGTTAGCTTTGGGAGGTGATTTATGACTTAGGAGTGTGATCGGAATTGGTTTTGGAGGTCCGGAGTAGAATTAGGCTTGAATTGGCGAAGTTAGTATTTTGGCGATTTTCGGTTG